TGTGACCAGTTCTGGTTCACAAACAGAGGGCGGGGGGTGATGTCAAGTGTGCACTGTTTTACCCTCCTTTGTTTTTATTCCGTTCACCACAGATTCCTTATCGACAACAATGGCCACTTCCAGTAGCAGTGACAATGGTTAAAGGTAACCCGTTCACAAGCACACAGTCTAATTGCACACACTTGTCTTAGGTTGCGCAGTCGCAACAATACATCCCATTCTGAACAAGAGAAACCGGCTGTTCAGTTACAGAAAAACTAGGGAATGTGCGAGATATCGAGATGAATAAAAATCTATAATAGAGTTCATAATTCTTGTGCATTATTCCAGAAAAGGCCACTTTTGAATCGTTTTTCCCCCCTAAATCAGCGTCGAAACAATGACAGTATGTCTTCGCAGGGTGACACTGGTGGTCTGTTTCCCACGGAGGAAAAAAAAGAAAGAAAGTGTTTTAATCCTGCTTGGTTTACTCACTCGCTGTCTGTGTTTACCATCCCAGGTTTGTGCGCGGTTCATTCACTCTTGCCCATTCATATGGCTGTAATCCCAGGTGCTGCTGCTGGTCCTGACCAAGCGCCTTTGTACCATCAGCGCTGAAGGAGAATGGATAAAAAGCGCAAAATGCAAGCCACGACAACATCTGTTTAATGGGGGAAGGGATCAAGCGGTGGATCCGGTATTAATTATATTGCTCGTTTCGTTATCCCATTTTTCCACAGCACCTATGTGGTATTTTTTTTTATCAGTTCCCTTCCAGATTTATCCCGTTTCTTCGGCCGTGAAAGTGCCGCTGTGCGCGCTCCCATCTCAGGCCAGCAGCACTGGAGGGCTGCGAGAATGGGAGGGACCAGAGCCACAGTGAGTCTGCTGGTTAAAGAGACAGAGCTGGGGTACACATATTTGGTTTTCATTGAGCTTTAATTTTTTTTTTTTAAATAAAATGTATCCGTCCAAGCAAGTTCAAATACACTACTGTAGTTTGTCATAAATGAATGGCTCTTAGTAAAATCTGAACTCATATCCCATCTAATACATCAGGAAACACAGGGTACCACTACTGCCAGTTTTCTCGCTGCTGTATACATTTTTATTAAGAGCAGTCAATATAGATTAAGAATTATTACAGCTTCTGGGTTCATTTGAATTTTACCTGTGTAGCAGGTGTTACTGATCGTGTAGGTGTGCTGCTATCTATAACCTAACACTGCCACCCAGTGGAGTAACGTTATACATACGGCGAACGTGTAATGTAATTCCGTAGCTGACTTTTTGTTAACCACAAAGCTCAGGTCAGCTCAATTTAATTTATATATCCACAAATCACAACAGTAGTGGCTTCTGACCCTACAGTAATACAGAGACCCCCTATGAGCAAGCACTTACTTGGAAGTGGGAAGGAAAAACTCCCTTTTAACAGGAAGAAACTCCAGTAGTGCACACAGAGTGAAAAATGTGAGCTCAGGAAGTAGAGCAGCTCATCATCTAATTTGAAGGTTGGTGGTTGGATACCTGGTTCCTCCCATCTGAATGCCAAATATGGTTGGGCAACATGCTAAAGCAATGTTGCTTTCAAGTGCATCAATCAGAGTGTGAATGTTAGAACTCAAACACAGAAAAAAGTGCGTGTATGAACGGGTACATGAAGCCTACTGCAGAAAGAGCTTTGAGCGCTCAGGTAGAGTAGAGGAAGAACCAGTCCATTTACCATAACTTCAGTACAATAATAAAAGGAAGAAGCAGACAATTCAAATGCTATGTATTTTTATTTACCTGAAATCACAACCTCAGTAATGCATGGTAACCATTACAAGTCTTCAATAATGATCGTCTTTTGTTTGGTTTTTTTTTAAATATGGTTACTATTGTTCTTCAACCAGGTTTCGCTGAAGAGTTTCTACCGCCCCTTCCCCCGCATTAGATCACAGTTTTACAGCAGTTCATAAAGATACATTATCAGAATTATACAGAGGCAATAAGAAAACAGAACACTGTTGTATTGCAGGATTACCAATGAATCAGTGTCAGTCTGTTGTACTCATCGCAAAAGACTTCTTCAAAGTAAATGGGTCAGTGATCAGCCTACAGTAGAGGAGTAAAATTCAAATGACTAAAGTTAAGTACAGTCAAGTTTAGCATCACTCATTTATCCACATTAATATTGTGCAAATTACCCAAACCATTACAATAAAAACAGTGATTTTTGCAATATATCTTAATGTTATCTGACTATAATACATTAGAATCTATAAATACAAACTGCAAAGCCTACATACAGCTGGAACGCATGCATGAATGTTTTTATTTTTTACACTGATGTAGACCTAAGACCATTCAACCCAGTGTTTTAAAGATTCTCTATGTGACAAGCTACCATGGAAGTTGGAAATATGTTCATCATGCAAGAGGGATCGTTGAGGCCATTAAGAAGTTCCCTGCACACAAAACATAACAGTGTTGATGATTTAGCATCTGCACGCGGAGGTACAAGTGTCTCGAGAAGTATGTGGTCACGTGTCGTGATGCATTGGGCAAAGGAGCTAGTATAAGCTCCCAAACCCTTTTGAAGTACACCCTTACATATTTGGTCTCATTACTGTAAAACGTGTCCTAATTATTTACTTTTTTTTCCTGTCTGCACAAGGGTACATACTGCTGGTCATCATAGAGTGTCTGAGGTGTGTGAAGCCAGAGTGAGTGGACACCCTGGGTTGTAGGATGGCTGCAACTTTAGAGGCCACTCTTATATACGAAGCATTTATGAGAGCCAACCTAAAAAAGGAAGAGGAAAAACAGTTAGCACAAAACTCTTAAAAATTAAAAATGGTGACAAGTATTCCCATCATTTGTTAAACTGTACATTTTCTACCATAAGAGAAGATTTCGTGAACATAAGCAAGTGTGAGAGGGGTGAAAAGAACAGCACTCGGTGGCATTCACAGTAGTGGCATGTGGCCAAAGTCAAGTTTTGTTCTGTTTGTCTATGTACTGGTAGTCCTTAAAGACTCCTTTGCATCCCTTCAGTGACTCGTATGCTTCCCAATTTAATAACAAAACAAGACACCCATTCGTTTCGTTTTATAAGAGTCTTCTCTCGTTAATTTAGCATATCTGGAGTGTGTAAGACAAATGGATACTCACTCTAGTGACAGGGTGGCCAGTGGTAGGCATTGAGGGGGAGAAAGGAGAAAAAAAAAAAAGAGCACACAGCTGTTAAGAGGAACACACAAACACACACAAGCACGAACAAACCCAGGCTTCAAAACACATGCTAATGATGGGCTTTTCTCACGTCAGAATTTCCAAACACAGTGATGCTTAAGATGAGTGTAGACTGAATAGGCTCTGATCCAACAAGTACAGACTACTGTAAAGCATGGTATACCAAACATAAACTAAGTCCCCTAAAGAATAGTCTAAGAGTCAAACACACAGGTTCTTATGCCATGAATAGCTCATGCCTGCAATGTTGTGCCAAGAAAACCGAAGCATTCATATGTCTGAAATGATCTGTATTCAAGTATTATATGCACATACAAAAAATGGATATGAATAATATTGAATATCATGGGTCTATATTGTATTAAATAAAGACAGAAAACACTTGATTCAAAGGGTTCATGAGTGTATTTTTCTTAAAGTAAAAAAACAAAAAACAAAAACGACAACATTTGGGCGTTTTTTAATTTGTAATCCAAAATCCATTCATTGGAGCAGCTGCTGTATTAGTATTCTTCCTTAAAATTTTAATATTATGATCCTTTGAATCAAACGCCATGGAGATGGTAGTCACCTTACAACATCCCCACCCAGTTCTGTCTCAGAACACATACACACAAATAAAGTTAATGTCACAAATCAATACAAAATATATTCTTTAAAATGTTAGAGGGAAGAGAGATTTTGTTCGTCGTTTTCTGCACAAGCAAATAGGGGCACACCTCAGATGTTACGCTTTAGCAAGACTGTTGAGGAAAAGTATCTCAAGATGAGCAAAAGAAAAAGAAAATCTTATATTGAGGTAGCTGTGCTCTGCCCAGTGCAGAAAAACATACTTATTTTCGATCATTATAGTTAAAAAACCAAAAACATCTATGAAGTTAATTTTCGCTCTAACATGGGGGACCATACACAATTAAATTAGAATGAGAAACACATACAGTTCATGCTTGGTCACAGGACATGCGGCTTTTGTTTATCAAGGGTTTTCTTTTGTTGTCTTTTTTTGTTGTTAGCTAAGCATTCAAATGTTTCACTCTGAGTCCCAAACCTTCCCCCCATCCTTGTCTGCCACATGGAGCTCGTCCTCTCTGAAAGAGTTCTGAGTTTATACTGAAGACACAATGGTAAACATCAGAAAATAAATCAAGGCGGTATGTCTAAGCCACGCTGGTCAAACAATTTACAAAGCCATAAAAAAAGTTGCATAAAATAGTGTTCAGTCTCTGTACAGATCAAATTATTTCTGATATCCTAATTTTCCTTTTCATCAAGAGGGAAACAAAACAAAACAAAAAAGACCGAAATTTGCTGTTTTTACTGTAGTGACATAGGACATGTTATTCCCACCATCATTAAAATATGAACCATAAAGGCAATATTGACATGAACAAAAATAATAACTGGCAACGGTACATTTTCTTTCACACCAGCAACAAAAAAAGTCCACAGCTATGGGAGTGATGGTCTTCTAACACTCACATTTAAAGCCTCACCCATTCATTATTCCTATACCACCTCAAAACAGACGTCTTCTCAGTGTTAACATTTTATATTATTTGTTATGTGTCAAAGTTGGTCCTTTCTCTTACGCACGTGGTGGCACGCAGAGGCACACACACTAACTCTACAAATGCACACACATACACACGCACTAGCTACGCACATTACGGAAGGCAGAGAGAGAAGAGGAGAGGGAAAGAGGGAAGTGATGGCAGTGGGTGGGGAATGGAAAAGTTGAGGTTGTGCTCAAGTCAGTCAGGACCAGAACATGTCGGCCATGTTAGTGTCGCAGCTGTAGATCCAGAGGACCAAGGGGAGGGAAATGGCCACAAAGGGCCACGAGATTCCCTCCATACATGCAGACAGGGAGCAGCCTTTGGAGTTGGCAGGCTTCTCCAGGTCTTTACCGGGCTCCAGGTAGTTCCTGGCAGCAAACTTGAGCAGTTCGTCCAGTAGAATGACAGGGAGCGAGATCTTGAGCACCATAAGCCACTGGGTTAGATTCAGGGGTGTGATCTGGAAAATGATCTGGAAAAGAAGAAACAACAGAAACAGCAATGAGCAAAGTAACAGATTTAGGAAATTTGCCAACACAGCAATGTTTCTTTTCTTGTGCTCTGCATCCAGATGACAGTAAAATAAACTTTGTGTCAAAATGAAAAATAATGCTCACTGGGAGAGGTTCCACATAGAGGATGAGGAAGTGAAGGGACATGGAGAGGCAGATGGCTCCCAGCAGCCACACGTTCTCCCATGGAGGCATCCGCAGCAGGGACTGGTTCTCTGACACGCTGTGAGGAACACAGACAAATGGTGATGTTTATTAAGAAGTCACTCACTCAATCGAGAAGAAAAACTCATGAATCTTTATTTCCCAACATAACACACACACAGTTGGAGAGTGAACATAAAAGAGGAGCTGAAGATCAACAGCTGGGAAAGATGCCTAACCTATTAAGGGCATTGCACATCTCAATCGTGACCAGTACAGACAGGGCCATGGTCATCGGGTAAGGAGACTCAAACACTTTGCAGTCCATGCCCTGGTAATCTGGATTTTCTGGACCACACTGCAGAAAATGGCTCTAAGAGGCAGAAAGAAAAAAAAGATCAGCAACGAATCGGGCATATTAAAGTGCAGCAAATTAGCATGATAGCGTTATTAAGCTCTACCAGCTGGTAAAAGGTGATCCTTGGTCCATCCTCAGCTGCAACAAACCACCAGGCAGCAGCACCAACAGTGGCAGCACCAACATAACCTGACGCACACACAAAAAAAAAAAATCATTCACACACAGACAATGACACAGATGCTCATGAAACAGCAATTAAAACTTAAACATACAAACGTATAGGAGTAGCAGCAGCCGTCTTGCAAATTACTTGCTGTATACAGTATAAAGCAGAGTATCACATAGCGCATATGTACACACTCTTTGATTTTCACTACTTACATCCAATAGCTAGGTATCTGAAGAAAAGCCATCCAGAGATGAGCGGCTCACGAGCATTGCGTGGAGGCTTATTCATGATGTCCAAGTCTGGTGGGTTGAAACCTAGAGCAGTGGCAGGCAAACCATCAGTCACCAGGTTGACCCAGAGCAGTTGGACGGGAATGAGAGCTTCAGGGAACCCCAGAGCTGCAGTCAGAAAGATGCTGCACAAAAAAAAAAAAAAGAGGAATGACAAATGATCAAGTGCCCTAAAACCATAATGTGTGTTTATATCAGAAGAATGAAGTGTGTTTGTAAAAGCAAGTCATTCTCACCAGACAACTTCGCCCACATTTGAGGAGATGAGGTATCTGATAAACTGCTTCATGTTGTTATAAATGGCTCTTCCTTCCTCAACTGCAGCAACGATGGTGGAAAAGTTGTCATCAGCCAGCACCATCTCAGAGGCAGTCTTGGCCACAGCTGTGCCTGAGCCCATGGCAATGCCAATCTCAGCCTTCTTCAGAGCGGGGGCGTCATTTACACCATCACCAGTCTGAGGAGAGAATGAAAAGCAGGACAGGAAAATAGTCAGAGTTTTATAGTCTGAAATAAATGACTCGTCTGAAATTTTATCCAAGCTCTCCTTTAATCTAAGCAAAAAAGGGGAAAACAGCAGAAAACTGTGACAAAGCCAAAAGGTATAAGACATTAAAAATCTAGAAAAGAAATGGCACGATTGGTTTTAGATGCTTTCGTGCATGCATGACTGAAGAACACCATTTTTTCTTACCATAGCTGTGATCTCATCATAGGACTGCAGATACTCAACAATCTTGGATTTATGTGAAGGCTCAACCCGTGCAAAGCAGCGAGCCTTGACCACAGCCTCTCTCTGCTGCGCAGGTGACAGATCATCAAACTCTCGGCCAGTGAAAGCCATGCTGGAAACGTCATCATCTTCTCCAAAAATACCAATGCGCCTGCAAATAGCCACAGCCGTCCCTGGAATATACATGAGAACGCAGTAATTATTACTTCAGGCTTCTGGGAAAGAAACAAGCTGGTTAAGTTGTATTTGCCATGTTTTTTTATTATCTGTAGAGTAGCAGAGTGTTCTGATTTGTTTCGCTTTTAATTTTTCAGATACAACTGTCACATACCCTTGTTGTCTCCGGTAATCATAATTACTCGGATGCCAGCAAGACGACAGAGCCTAACAGAGGCTGCCACCTCTGCCCTGGGAGGATCCAGCATGCCCACGCAACCCACAAATGTCAGGTCAGTCTGCAAGATAAGAAAATCACAGATTAAGGAACTTAAAAAGAAAAACAAACAAAAAAAACTGCTTTCAGATAATCAAGTGATCCGATCCATCTGCTTCAGCTCTCACCTCATACTCAATAAATCGAGAGGAGTCATCTAACATCAGCTCATGTTTGTTCAGGGGATTATCTCGTGTGGCCAGAGCCAGACAGCGCAGGGTGTCCCTGCCCGTTCCATACTCTCTGATCACAGACATTAGCTTTTCCTTGATTCCAGGGGTCATGGGTACCTTGTTACTGCCTACACGAACGTGCGTGCACCTGTCAATCACTCCCTCAGGAGCACCCTATGAACAGGAACAAATCAATTAATGAGAAAGGCAAAGACCAACCTCTAAGGAAGAAAATAATTTAACATGCAGCTGTGTCAAGGCTTCAAATCCTGTAATAATGCATAGTAGTTACATTTCTTACCTTCACAAACATCTTGCCAACTGAGGAGCGTGCTTTGTTAGGAGTACAGTACACAGACATAGACTTCCTGTCTCTGGAAAATTCCAGGGTAAACTCTTTCTTCATCAGCTGCTTGATCACCTAAATATGCAACAAAACCCAACCACCAATAAGAATTTCTCTAATAAAGTGAAAAGCTGTACATTTTTGCATACTGACAGAGAAGGAAAAGCAGACTTAAAGCATTCAATTACATACAGAATTGCAGGCGTTGGCTCGCTCAACCCTGGAGAGGCCTTTCACGTCTGTATCAAACACGTTCATCTTCTCAACCAGGCATGTGAGAGCTGTCTCTGTGGCCTCACCCACCTTCTCGTACACACCTTTGGCCTGGGAAGAAGAAAAAACAAAAAACAACCAATGTTAATGTTTTATGTGGAAATTGCCACACAAAACATGTAAATGTGATTTCACTTTAGTGTTCAAGAATCAAGAACCATTAATACTGCAAACCTCATTGAAGTCCAGCGAGGAATCATTACAGAGAGCACAGATAGAGGCCAGCTCCACCAACGCATCATACTGGGAACATTTGACTGTTTTTCCATCATGGAATCTAAAAAAAAAAAAAAAAAAGAAGAAGAAGAAGAAGAAAAAAATCAGAGGAACAGTTAGGAAACTCACATTTGCAGAAACTGAAGAATGATCAAAAACAGAAATTTAGCATTTATGTCTATCTTGTATAAGATGCCCCAAATAAAACTTACATAGGCATAGAAAAAGACTGAATACTCACACTTGTCCATCTGGGGCATATGTGGAGCCGCTAACGGTGAATTCCTTTAATGAACAGTGATCGCCCTCTGCCCGATCAATGATAAACATCTAGAGGAACAAAAGAAATATTTTTGAATTTATTATAATATTTGAAACTCACATAACATATTTATTGTCTGTATAAATAACTTTTGGCTGCTCCCTTTAGGGGGTCGCTTCCATCTCCCTGCTAGGGATAGAGATACAGTGAGATGGATAGATCATCAAGTAACTTTCAGGGTTTCTGCAGTTCTGAATGTAAGAGGTACAATAAAAAAAAAAAAAAAGAAAAACGGCAACAGACATGTCCTTTTTCACACTACATCCACAAACCACCTCTGAGGTCTTCACCCTTTCCTCAACATCCTTTGTCCAATACATCCACCAACCCATCTCAACCATACTTCTGTAACTCTTTTGTCCAAAATGCTCAACCTAAGCTGTCTTTCTGATGTACTCATTTCATCGCTCCCAATGAAAAACTCAACATCTTCCACTATCACGTCCAGCTCAGCCTCCTGTCCAATGTGTGCAATGCTGTATTCATTACATTATAACTCGAGCATCAAAGTCCGAAGATGGTAAAGGGGGAAAGCTGAGAGACTGATGCACACTGCATCCAGCAGATGGCATCAGACTACAATCGACATCAAAGAAACCTTCAGTCCACTCTAACATTGAACAGAGTGTAATGATGAAATGGTGAGCCAAAGCAGACACCACAAAGCGCTTTGATGGGAGGGTTCAATAAATGTCATCTTACAACAGGTTAGGACTCCACACAGGGATTCTTTGCCTAACACATAATTACAGCCTATAAATATTGCTTAAACATAAAATTAATATGGCAAAAATGTCAGAAAACAAGAGCAAGGATAACATGAGAGGAAACAAAGAGGTTTTCAGGCAGATAGCACTAGCTCTGTTAGGAATGTCATTCAGAAGTGTGCATTAATTCAAACATACATGGATTATTCATTCCACATTTGCCCCAAACTGAGAGGAGCAGAACAAAGCTGCTCAGGGGATGAAAATAGAAATATCTGAATAAAATGATGAGCTGGCATTATGGCTGCACTATCCTCAGGCACTAGCAAGACTTCAAAAGGCAGTGACGTCACTGGCTGTCCTACACAAGAACAAGAAAAAGGCACTGCACTGAAGAGAAGCCTTCGATCACTCATGGCAGCAAATTTCAGTAGTGCCCTAGTTGGACAGCAGCATCTTGGCCACTGCAGAGGTAGCTTGCAGAAAATTAAAGGATGAGCAAGGGATAGAGACACAGGGGCAGCGGAAAGAGACAAGGTCAGTTACGCAACTACTGGTTTTGCTGCAAGTGACTAACTACTGCATACTGATCAGCATGCTGCCTGAATGAGGCTGAGAGCACTGAAAAAGATGGAAGGAAAAGGGGGGAAGAATACATATTCTGCTGTACTACAACAGACTGTAAAAAGATGCAGTATAAAATTATTCATGCACTAATAAGGGATGATAAAAAAAAGAAACACCTGTAATTCTGAATCTCATTTCATCCCCAAATATGTACAACTCAATTCTTTCATTGTGTTACTGTTAGCCATTCAGCCCGAGTAGGCTTTATTGCTCAGTAAATCACTTTGTTTAAAGATGAATTGGGGAAATTTTACAGTCAAACAGTGACACAGTGTTTAGTTAATATTACCACGATTCAGTACTGGTTGCTGGGTTCAGAGTCCAGAAAATATTAGGAAACTCCGCATTAAGTTATGTTCACTCAACATAATCACATAATGTTTAATTACAGTAGTATACCATTTAACAGATCCACAGTGAGGCATTTTTAGCACATAAACACCAATCTACAGAGATTCCAACCAGTTTTCCTCAGTGTGGACTTAGGAGTAATCCCAAAACCAAACTCAGATTCGCTGATGTGCCTAGATGTTGGTGTGACAAAAATACATTAAATCCACTAAAGATACACTACGATCCATCTTCCTTCTGTCATGCACTCAAAACGACTGCCCACTGTTTTCTTACCCTGCACACAGACATCTGATTGGTCGTCAGTGTGCCAGTCTTGTCGGAACAGATGACAGATGTACAGCCAAGGGTCTCTACAGAGGGCAAACTGCGGACAATAGCATTCTTCTTGGCCATACGCCGTGTTCCTAAAGCCAAGCAGGTAGTGATGACAGCCGGCAGCCCTGCAAAACAGCAACAGCGGAGCCACAGCAGAAAAGAGGATTATTAAGTGATGAAAATTCTTTAGTCGTCTCGTGAAGTAGTGGAAAATGAAGCAAGCATATCAAGGACAGAACTACATTTGCAAATGTCCAGCTTACCCTCAGGAATTGCAGCTACTGCAAGAGCCACAGCAATCTTGAAGTAATAGACAGCACCTCGAATCCAGGAACCTCCATGAACCGGGTCGTTGAAATGTCCAATATTGATGATCCACACAGCAATGCAGATCAGTGAAATAACCTTGAATTAAAAATTAATTTTTTATTTAAAGATATTTTAATATCAAATGGAATAAACATTAGATTTTTATTTATTTTTAAAAAAGGCCATCCCTAATAATGTGCAAAACAATGCAATTTAAATAACCTTGGAGAGTTGCTGCCCAAACTCATCAAGCTTCTGCTGCAGGGGTGTACGCTCCTGCTCCGTTGTAGCCATCTCATCTCGAATTTTGCCAATCTCCGTGTTGCCAGCTGTGGCAACCACCACACCGACAGCCTTACCAGCTGCAATGTTGGTACCCTGGTGGAGTAATGGGGGAAAATAAAGAGGCAGTAGAAACCTAAAAATCTTAAGACAGTTTTTCCTCTTTGTCAATAACTACTTCTGTGAGACCGGTTAGAGACGCACAGAAGTAACTTTTATAAACAAATTTCAAAAACAGATACTTAAAATGTAAATAGCAGCAAACTGTTGCTTTTATAGGTGTACTCTGGGTGATAGAAAAGATAGAAAGGGGGAATCATGCGCCAACGCAAAAAAAAAAAAAAAAAAAAAAAAGTGTAAAATGACACCAAACCACCTAAGATGGTCTAGTGAGTGACTCACTGAAAACAGCATGTTCTTCTTGTCCTGGTTGACAGCACGCGGGTCAGGCACTGGGTCTGTGTGTTTGATCACAGACACAGACTCTCCTGCAGGTAGAGGAAAACAAAAGATAAGAGAATGGGAAGCAGACGCAGAGTTTCTACACAGCAGAGCATGTAGTGGTACTTGTGATGGTTGGTTGACATTTTGGGCAGATATGTGCAGAAAAGGCTTTGCAGCTGACTGAGCAGGCCCGACAATTATCAAATACTGCAATTCCACTGCCTTTCAAACCCCTCATCCGATGTGTGTATGTCTCTGTGTGTAATCAACTGTGCAAGACTGCACATTTTCTGATAGAGCAAGGCAGGGAGCATTTGACAGGCGGCATGGCCATGAATGGGGAAGGAAAGAGGGGAGAAAAACAGCTCAAACACTAAAATATCCCATGGAATTTGCTACCAATTAAGGCAGCAGAGCAAGACAAGCGATTTAAGGACTTGGTTCACATAAACTCTTCTCCCCTACATTTTCCATCCTTCAATATTCTCCCCTTCTATTTTTCTTTCCATCTACCTCATTGTCCAATTATCCACCCACAGAATCATCCATTTACCTTTTATTCACATCACTCATTTCATTTTTGTCACAGCTGAGCAGCCATGACAACTGAGTGCAATGAAAATGTGCAGAAAAGGGAGAC